TTGCTTCCGTCGACTCACGAAGTACAAGCGTGTCGCAAGAAGGCCCTTCCACGCGGACGACGGCACAGTTGAAATAAAATTTCTTTGTGGAGGATTCTATAACGTTTCTAATCGACGCGACGTTGCGATATCGAGCGCTAATTACAAGAATCGCTTGTCGATGGCTTCACGGCGGCAGGAACCGCGCGCAGATGTTCGGCTTCAAGGAAGAGATTACGCGACTCGCAAAAGCGATAGATTGCGATAACGCGCTTATTACGGAAAACGACGAAAAATGCACGAGACTCGTGAAATTATATACATCGATGCGATAGCGTAATATCTACGCGAACGATGGACATTAAAGGTGGGTATACGCTTTAGCGGGGATCAGAGTGAGAAGACGAAGGGAGAAAAAAGCAGAAGAAGAGAAAGAGAGAACGAATAGGTAGGTAAGGACACATAATAGCAGGATGTTACAACGCCCGTGTCCGGTACATAAGTATCTGGTTTCATAAATGAAAGTGTCTTCATTCATAGATACATATTTCCATACAATTGCAGCTATTGGTTCGTATCTTATGATATCACCGTTATGTGCGGGCAGCCCGGCATACATAGCACCATTATATACAAATTCCTACTGTTGCATTAATGATAAAGTTGTTTAGATATCGCGCGATATTGGCACGAGGATGCGGACGTAAGAGGAAGAGCGCGTAAAAAAAAGAACACGCGTTTGCGCGACGATCGTTCAGTGTGGAGAACGAAGTAACGTTGCGCGTGCCATCCACGACTTCGCTACAATAGAAAATATATAATGAATAAATATACGAAGAGGCGAATTTACATTTCATTCCCATCGTAGAAATATATCGCCGCACTGATATTTCTAGAAAAGACAAAAAGACTAAATTATGGAAATGGGATCGAGGGCGATACAATCTACATTTATATTTATACGGTAAAGATGGACGGATTATTTCATGTTTCCCCGGCTCATATATAAATCGAGCGCTCGACGTGAGGACGCACACCAGGACGCGCCCTTTACGTAGGGAGCCGTCCTTTCCTAGCATCCACAGTCCACACAGGAAATCTCAGACGCACCCACCGAAACAAGCCCGCCCCTGTCGGCCGGAGCCGATTTAATGTTTCGTTTCCTCTACGACGATAAGGGGGCTACAATTTTATAGAAGCGTCAGAGCAGCCCCGCGCGCACGAAGCACACTTGGAAAAACACAAGCGGTTACGCTCGCGAGCGACGTTGTAATTAGACCTCGGTTGAGGGCCACCACCCCGCTAGCCGAAGGAAGTGTTGTGGAACAGGTGGGGTGAGAAGGCGCCGAAGGTACAAATTATGACGAGAATTGTAAAGACAAACTATAAACAGATTTCTTCCACCGCGTTACAATACCGCGTATTTTAATTCCATTTTGCTTATTTTAAGATACGTTTCGACAATAAAATATATTAATATTTTTCATACTAAAGAAATCAATTTTAATATAAAGCGCTTCAACTGAGATCTTTGACTAGAACTACGTGATATAAGTTTCAAACATATCAAAACTCTGAATGATTGTGAGATAAATTTACAGCGGAGAAATTTACTTTTAAATCGGAATATATATATTTTCGGATAGAAAGCGCTTGGTCCGTTTGAAGAATGTATTTTCTCGCGTTCTATAGAAATCCGGTTTCACGTTAGCGCGGAAAATTCGCGACGAATCTGCCGGTGGGGTTGGCAGGAGGGTGGATAATGCGCAGGCACGAGATAGTAAATTTTATAAAATAATACCCTCCTATATACGCGGGCTGCATATTCATTTTTCCGGAGGGGTCTCCCTCTGGGAGCGAGTCCCCAGAGAAGGGGAAGGAAGAGGAGGAGGAGGAAGAGGAGGGTTGCTCGCCACTGCCCGGTTCAAGCCGCGTACATATGTATGAGCTTCTGGTGGACGCGCTGGTCATGCCTCGACGAATCCAGGGCTTTCTGCCCTTTATTTTTACCAGTAGCGCGCCCATTCCTCTCGCGAATAAACAGGACCGACTCCGAAAGAAAAGAAGAAAAATGGAAATAGGCAAGCCGGATGATTAGCGCTCCCCGTCTTTCTTCCGAGTGCAAGCTGCATAACTTCGCGGCTTCTGCCTAGCCGAAGCAGAAACAGCGTAACACTGATGTATACATCAGGTGTACGCAGGTGTGCAAAGAAATCGCCTCTTTTACGTATAACAAATGTCACTTTAAAAACCGTACGTCGGAAGAAACTGCGTTTCAAGAAAACACAATTGCATGAAGAAACTGTAACAACTACATTTACTTTCACCCGCCAGTGCCACGATTGCATTGTTTCGCCATATGAAGAAATGCTTAATTTTCTAATATCGGAAGGTAAAAAAAAACATGCGATAAATTAGAGATAAAGATCAAATTAGACAATCCGATTCCTCAAGGCTTTGGTTTTTAATGAGATTTCCCGAAATTTCTTTAAACAAGAAAAGCCGTGTGACTGCCCTACGAAAAGCCACTTTATAGTATCAAACGCAGAATTATCGCTAATGTGGCATTTTCGTCGTTAACTATGTTGTCGAGACTGGCTTTTCTTCGACATACGCCCAAGAAAAGCAACGCGCCCGTTCGCTCGCTCGCTCGCTCGCTTGCATTAAAGAGCAATTAGCCGCGGCTCGCGAGCACGCTGATGCCCGGAAGCGATAGAAGCGGGCCGCGCGTGCCACCCTTATATACTTCTTCTTCGTATGCGTGCCTTTGTATTATACATATGCTTACACTTACCTCTTGGTAACGCGTCTTGCTCGCGAGCTCGCCTGACTCGAAGCAGTCCAAGTTGGTATAAGGACCTCCATCTTTCTCGGCTCACAATCATCCACGCCGCTACCGTTTTTATCGTCTTCCTCGGCGAGGTGTATGTTCTTCTCTTTCTTTCCCACAGAACTTTCCTAATGCACAAATAAAATCGTCAGAAATCTAATCCTAGAAAGGCAAATAGGAATATCTCCACGAGTGTATAGAGGAAATCGTGACGTTGCGATTTTACGATTGAAGAATGCGGAGGCAGAATTTAGAATTATGGGAAAAGTAGATATATAAAGTGTAAAAAGTCAGAAACTTACATGCCTCCAATCCGATATGATGTAGCTTATTTTTCTCTTTTCGTCGTTCACGCCTCGCATTTTCCCTCTCTCTTCGTACGCTGCCCCTGCGGCGTTTCATATGTAGCCGCTCGCTCAATTACCGTCGCGGATAATCATTATCGCGGAAACTGTATCGCCGGGCCTCATTGCCCCAATCCTTAATTAGCTGCCGGCTAGACGGTAATTGGTACGAACCGGTGTCGAGCGGCCGATACGATGGCGAGAACGAGGCAGCATATGGGCAATAACGTCCTCTCGGTAGCTAACGCCGTCTCACACGCTGTAAAATTCATTCGACTTTAAGTTAACAACAGTCACAATTAATTTATATCTAATAAATATGTCTTACGCGTTACAGCCGTTCAATAACCGTTCAAAACATAGATTGTTTAAGATTTCGCGTTTTCTCTTACATGATATATCTCTTGCGAAAGTCCTATTTTTCAAGAAAGAATTGAAAGTTTGCAAAAAAAGTGGGATATCAAAAATCTCCAAAAATAAAAAGCTGCTTAATTAATACTTAATTCATGTAATTAATTAAATTTAAAATAATTTAGCATTAAATCATGATGTGAAATATAAATTTGTATAGTGCACACGTACGCAAAAATACGAACATAAGTAATACAGAATTATTTTAAGCGTCACATGTGTAAAATAGATATTATATAAGTTAAATTTATATATTCTTGTATTATGCTTCGGTTTTTTCCAGCTTAAAAATAATGATGAATAGGAAGATCGCAACATGCACGTGCGTGCACTCACGCACGGGTAATACTGTTAATTGCAATTTATACCCGGTCAGCTTAGAAACTTATATCACAAGCAGGAACTGCAGGAAGTCCCTCGTGTTTTGTTTTAGACTTGGGATTAATTTTATAAGGAAACTTGTTTTATAAAAATTAATCGCTAGCTCATTGATTCTATAAGTCCGACATTCTTGCGCGCGATACACGTTTAAAAGCAATTTATTTTTATTTTTTCTTGTATAGATATTTGTTTTTCAATACGATACTATATACTTTCTCTGTCATACTATTCTTTTTTCAATGTTCTATTTTAGTTCCGCCGCGTAGAAAAAATCTCCAAAAGCGGACGATGATAATCTCACATCATATTACAACTCTGCGGGCAATCTGCACATTTTTCATTTTTCTTTCCTTTTTTTTCTTTTTTTTTTTGAGTGTACGCGCTGCAAGTACGGCAATTGTAAGGTAAGCCGCAGCAGCTTGGCTTTGTCTGTGCACCGGTACCGAATCGGTATATGGGAGAAAAAACACCGGCCGCGCCGCGCGATCGGACTGGGCGCGCACGCGAGAGAGAGGGATACCTGTCTACGTACACTACGCGCGGGGAAGAGCCGGCGATTATTGAGCGGGCAAAGATAAAAGGTCGGTTTCGTCTTCCCATAAAGCGAAAGTGAAGTAAACGCGCGGCACCACTTTATGCTGATCGATTTGTGGTGATTTTATATCTTCGCCTGTCTATAGTTCTATACCGGCCGGTGGCAGAGCCTGCGGACCGGTTCAAACGGGCCGCGATACTTTATATCTGCGGTATAAACGCGAAATTGAGCTTTACATATTCCGGACAGAAAGGGGCAAGCAAGGAGCACTCAAAGTGCTCGCGCAAGAAATTTCTTTGTGCTGTCCATAGAATAGTCGATCGCGCTGGTCGAAACATTCTTGGGATCAATATACTGATATTACACGAAAAGTGGAGAACAAAAAAAAAACGTCATTTTTTTCTTCCGATTTCTATCAAAATTTGTCGAGAAATGGTACTGTAACCTTTCGTTATAACAGTTCAATCATTTTAATAGATATATTTCATTTTTATTTGAAATGTAGATAGTAAAGGATGTATGTATAGGAATGACGATAAATTTATTAAAGTGACATATCACATAAATATTTTTATAATTTCACTTATATTACCCGTACCTCAAAAAATATGTTTATAGATCTTTACAGATCTGTTACTCATATAACTTTACCCCTTTAGCGAAAATAAATGTACATTACAAGCAAAATAATATTCTTTTTGATAGTTAAATTAAACATTTGAATACATTTAGGAATTGCATATTTTTAAGTCTTATACTATCTGTTGCACATAACGTCTTTTTATAAAACATAAATCTCAATATCATCATATAGTTTTAGGAGGTCAAGACGTCCGTCCCTCTCATATAATTAGATTGTTAAGAATGTCTGTATATCGAGAAATCTATATCGTATATATAATTATGAGAGAGTCCATTTTATCCAAGTGTTTCATCCAGTTATCTATTTTAAATAGGACACTTGGATTCAGAAGAAACCTCTGAATCTGTCGAAATATCCTCTGCCGTGAGAGCAAGAATTTCCTCGCAGACACGTTTATAAACCCATGCATCACCCTTTAGTCTTTTCCGACGAATGCCGACTAATCGCTTGCCGTTCGGACCGATTTCCAAGAGACAGACTTCCAGTTCGAAGGAACAGGAGTTCTGCGAGGAAATCGATTTCGACGAGTTTTTCTTATCTTCCGTAAAGGACTCTTCAGTTTCTCCTTGCAAAATGAATCTACAACAAAATATGTTTATAATAATACAACGGTATAGAGAACAATCTGAATAAAATTATACAATTACCCTTTCTGACGGCACATTATACCCTTTTGCCGAAGTGCTCTTCGTAATTTCGAGAGAACATGTTTTGGACAACCACTGCATGTTGCAGATACGTTGGAAAGACCCTTTGATAACAAAATAAAATTTACCGCCATTTGCAGAAACTTTTCTCTCTTGTAATGGTATTTTCATATAATTTAGATGTAAAATATACCTTCCCCGACAATATATTTGGTTCATCAGGATCGGTGTTTTCGTTCTTCACTCGCCTTTTCGGGGTGAGAACACACCTTACTCGATTCAATCCTCGCTCTAAACCCATCATAACTTTTCTTGCGCTACCAGGTGTAGATGTCTGAGAAACTCTAAAAATAGTATTTATAATATTAATTATTTTTTTAAACATCGTATTTGTTATATTATTTGTATTACTCATAAGTTTACTTTGTATCTGGTGTCATGGATTGCGTTGGAGTAGCTGATCTATTTTCAGGTAACCTCTTTGCTGGAACTATAATAATATTAAAAGGCCAAAGCATAAGCATAACTTTAATATCATTTATATATTATTAATTATTTATTACATAAATACATATATTACTAAAGTTTAATACTTTTCTGAGTGATGAGGATTCACATGCGTAAGTAGTGCTTGAGGAATAGTGGAATATCTTCTAAGGAGTTTTGGAGAAGGATTCTCTTGTACACGGAAATTCTTAAGTTCAAATTGCGTTTGTTAGCAAGTCATTGCTCTTCTCGAGGTAATTATCTGCTTTTCGCGCGACTACTGTAGTAATTTATCGCGGTCGGAAACTTTCATTAAAGTTTCTAATTAGGTGTTAGTATCACCTAATTAGAAATAAACTTTAGAAAATGTACTATAAAACTAACTGCGGCTGTAACGCGTTTGACAAACAGTTGCATGTAAAATGTACAAAATGTACAAAAACATTAAAAACAGAAATACGCGAAAAATTCTTGATACAAACAGTAAAAAGAGAATTAAGATATTGAAATAGTGATAAAATATTTACCAGGCGATGATACGTCATCACAGTCTCTGCTTCGCAATCTTTTTCTTGTCGATATACATGGTTCTATAAAGTTCTCATTTTTTGGGGGCAAAATGTTGTAAGTGACATCAATCGTTGGAGATTGCTCAATGTTTTTGCTTCTTGGAGAATGATCGAGTTTAGTTAAAAAATTATTGACTATTACTTCACGTTGTAGAAAATTTGTGCCATTCTATAGAATAATAAATTTGTACGATTAATCAATTGCAAATTGAAATACATCAATCTCATATTGAAAAAAATTTTTGTGACTCACCATTTCTTGCTTAAGATGAGACTTCATTGCAGACGTTATTTTCAATGAAAGTCCACGTAATTTTCTGTCGAGTAACAACAGATATGTAGCCGTTCTATAATCAGTTCTATCACTCTGCACAAGTTTCTTCCATATATCTACACTGTTCCCACCACAAATGGCAGACATAGTACTCAATACCTCGTCATCTTTTTCAAGCTAAATGTTTACATAGAAAAAAAGAATTTTATAAAATATTTAGAACTATAAGATCAATTTTTTTTCTGTACCAAAAAATTCTTACTTCTGTTCTGTGAATAAATGATATAGACTTCAGAGAATTTCCAGTAACCCATGGATGATGACATAATTCGTGAATGGTGATTCGCTTTGCTGGATTGATTTGTAACATTGATTTGATTAGCATTTTACTATTATTAGACAACCAATATGGTTCCTCATATTTGCCACTCTAGAATAAGTGTAATTTGTATATTTATGTCACAATATGCAAGTGCGTGGCAATTGTAAAACTTACAAGTATCTTTTTGTACAAGTTCTCTAAATTATTGTCATCAAAGGGTAAAAAGCCACACAGTAAAGCGTAAAGAAGGACCCCCATACTCCAGATATCTACTTCTGAACCTGCAAACAGATTTTGCATCTTAAATATTAAATTACAGAGAAATGTTGGAAGCATTTTAAAAGCTCAATTATTTACCCAAATATTTCTTTCCCATTATAAGCTCTGGGGCAGCGTATGTGGGTGAACCACAAGAGGTATATAAATGTGCCTGAATTCCCATCTTGGGTTTTGCGCATAGTCCAAAGTCAATTAATTTTAAATTCTCATCTTTATCCAATAAAACATTTTCCTGTTAAAGAAGAAAGAAATGTAATCCTATTCAGATAACATGTATCGTAAAAGAGAGAAAAAATATGCTTACAGGCTTTAAATCTCTATGAGCGTATCCCAAATTGTGCATGTATGCGACAGCAGACACTATTTGGCAAAAAAATTTGCGCGAGTCAGATTCCGGCAATCTGTTCTTCTCAACTGCAACACAAATACAATGTCATTAATAAATCAATTCGTAGCTTTTCAAGGTAACAAAAAGTTCTTCAAAGGTAATGTGATACGTTACCTATGTGGTCAAATAATTCTCCACCGGAACAATATTCCATCACCATGAAGTAGTGACTATCTGTCTCTATCACCTGATACAGCCTACAGATATGTTGATGCAACAGTGTTTTAAGTGCCTCCACTTCGACCTTCACCCTTGGTAAGTCTTCCTAGAATATAATAAATACATTTTACAAGATGGAATGGAAGATTAGAGAGTAAAATGCTGATTGGCAGAACTGCAATAAAATTTCCTGTCTATGATAAAGTGACCATAAATGGCATAAAGCCATAAATAATTGGAGGGATTCTACTTACGCCTAACGCGGTCTTCTCCATAATCTTAATGGCAACCTTCTCGCCGGTAGCGACATGAGTCGCGAGTTTGACTTTGGCGAAGCCACCGCTACCGATCGTCTTCTCCAGGTCGTACAATCCTTTCAGGGCGGCGTATCGCACCATCGTCGGGCCCGGCACGAGAAGACGGATCGTAAACGCCGGAAATCTGTCGCGACTCGCGGTCTCCGCTCCGATCGCCGCATCAACTTTCAAAACGCGGTTCTCTAACGAAAACAATTTTCGAGTCTTTCGACGGCCAATCCCTCGCTTCTCCACATTCCCGTTAACAGTGGTGCCACGCGCAGGTACAGGGTGCGCAATCGCTAAACGTCAAATAACTGTACACGTCGGCTTGGTCGGTTTTAGGGAACCGATAAAGTAGATTTTTTACAACATCACTTATCGATCATACGAATATCAAATGCAGAATAGAAAGGTAACTACTTTAACCCGCGACAATATTAGCGACGTATGCCGGATGTTATTTTTTTGTACAAAAAATGGTGACAGTCGTCCGACAGACGAGTCGTCGATGCGCGAAATGTTTCGAGTTTTCGAAATGACTTATCGCTTTATTGAGAAACATCGCGCCGATGAACGATGACACAATTCCTTCGACTGTGCAAACCGGAAATCTGTTACGTAGCCACCAGAAGTTATGGAACTCGAAGGTTAGAATCTTCTTTGTAATCGCTGTATCAAGCAATAAATTTGTTTGTTTTAGCTAGTCACTTTTTGTACTCTGTTACAATCTTTTTCGATCCCTTTAATATATATGAGATGGGAAATATATGTTTCGTTCTGAGTGCAAAAAGTATATTGTTAGCTGCTAAAAGAAACAGATTTATTGCCAATGTAGCGCGTTCGTTTTGAAGGTACCAGCAGAATCATTATGAAATCTTAAACGTTTCACCCGATGCATCGCAGAAAGAGATCAGACATGCTTTTATCAGATTGTCAAAACAAGTATGTAACGCTTTAGACTTTAGATAATTTGTACTAAAGGAGAATTCAATATATGACTTTTTTTAAATAAATATTATGATGAATGTAAACAGCATTTTCTGCTTTCGCCATTCTGTATTTTCAATACAGAAAATATTGATTTTATATATAAATTAAATTTATATATTTTGTATGATTATTATAAAATACATGTACATTTATTTTTGCTAGCTGCATCCCGATACTAGTGGCAAACAAGGTCATACTGATTTTGTAAAATTGAACGAGGCATACAAGATTCTGGGTAAAGAAAGTACGAGGCGCCAATATGATTTTGAGTTGAAGTATAATAGATACAACCCATCCTATACACATAACTCACAAAACACGTAAGTTAATATATTAAGATATTGATTTCATTAAAAAACATTCATACAATGTAGAGCAAATTGTATCTCACAAATTTTTGGTTTTGCGTTTCTAAATTTGTGTGCCTTGACAAAATAATTTTCTTAACCCCTGTAGCAGTTTTTCCCTATATATATATATATATATATGAGTATAAATAAAAATAAAATTTCAATATTTTTATAAAAATTTTCAAACATATGAAACCTGTATAAAACTTAATGAGTAAACTAATATGTTATTTAAAGCGAATTATTCTTGTAATTTATTCTATATTACATGTATAAACATCTAACAGAGAGCAAAAAATCTAATGCAGTTAACGTAATACATTGTTACAGGCAATATGGGAGTCAATGGGAATACGAAGTACGTGCAGCAGGAGGACCATGGCCACCACCTCCGAACAAGCCAAATGCACTCTTTGGCTTACTAATAGCCCTTGCATGTATTGGATTAGGATTGCTGCAAGCCATTTTCTTCCTCTATTCTATGAATGTAAGAAAAAGAGTAATTTTACGAAATGCTAAAATTGAGAACGAATATCAACAAATTCGAGACTCGGCACGTAACCCCGATGATCAGTTTTTTGTAAAAGATTTTAATTCTGTAGAGGATTTTAACGAGTATCTGATTAAAGACGACAGCGAATGTTAGCAAGAATTTTACTAGAAATTAAAAAATAGCAGTATTAGAGACACTGTTTTTTTTATATCCTTTTCCTTCCTGTTGTACTAAAGATAGGTTCTATTACTATATGGATTTTACAAAGATGGTTTTATATTTATATTTTTGGATGCTTTTTATAAAACCTTGTTTACCTGCTAAATAAAGAAAATATATGATATATATTTATGATATATATATTGATATATTGAATCTATAAAATCAGTTACAGAGTGTTCTTTCTCAATGCTCAATTATATGCTTGAAAATTCTTAAAAAAGATGATTAAATTTTATTTTTATTGATACTTATATATATGAGGAAAAATTGCTACAGAGGCGAGTAAGAAAATTATTTTGTCGATAATGCATTATTGTATATATTTTACAATATATTTTGGTCTAAAATTTTTGGATAATACTTATAAGTAGACAAGAATGTGAATTACATTCTTTAGACTTATAACTTTAAATTATATACACATACGTATCGGTAATATATATTTCCGCCAATAATATATTTTTTGCGCATTTAAACCTAGATATCTATGCTATCTCAAATCTAATTTCGTTTCTCGAAATTACTGTATTTACAATAATTTAATACTACGTTGATATAACGGTATGCAATTTTTTATATACTTATATATTGTACAGTAAATTATAAAATTTATTTATTGTTTTTTTTACAGTAAAGATACCGTTATATATTTTAATAATATATCCTACTTTTTATTATTCTTCACACAACTTTCGTACATCCCAGATGCACTCTCTTTTCAATCCCATCTTTATTTTCATAATTTCTTTATATATGTGACAGCAGCTATGTGCGGTGACGCAGGTGAGAAGATTGGCTTTCCATCCTCATCCACATAGTCGTTATAATTAACTTTATATATCGGATCGTAGCCAAGTCGCTGGCACAACTTACCGGAAAAAAAGGACGTGCAGTCTGCCCTGAGGTAATGAAATCCTTGCTCCTTTGCAATTTCTCTGTAATTCGTAAGTAAATAAAAAATATTTCGCTCGCTCTTAAATACTTCCGTCTCGGATCGAACATATTACAAAATGTAAGATAATATTTACGCTGTTTTTTCCATGAGAGTCTTCGCGATACCTTGTCCTCTCCAATTCGTGTCCACCGAAAGTATTCTGATCTCCAAGACATTGGAATCCCGAAATTTTCCTTCCTTATTCGCACCTTTGTCTATGTGATGTAGTAATCTCAGTATCTTCTTAAGTTTTGCGTTTTTACACAATCGTATATATTCTGGTTCTTCATTCGACGGAGGATCTATTTTGCCTGTAGAGTAAAAGATATCGTAAGTGTAAATCTACAAAATGATTAATTTATATATTAAAATTAAATTAATATAATGAATTTACTGTTGCGCCGCAATGCGCAATTATTAAGGAGGCGACCAAATAACAGTTTCTTCATCATTATTGGATCATTTGCAATCGTAGGCAATTTTTTTGCATTCTGAAGACATTCTGAACAACGGTTTATTCCATGAGATTTTTTATACATTTCAATATTCATTAAGAGCGAAGTCGAGAAAGATTATTTCAATAGATACATTCTCGCGTATAAATAATATGGCATGATGTATTTATATAGCTGTGTCTTGCAATGCATTTTGCATATACTATCTTAACGACAGCTATTAATTATCGCAGATGATAAGCCAGGAATTAAATTAAGATATAATATGAAATTAGTGCACAAATGTGTATTACAAACGTCTAAAAATATTCTAGTACGCTAATTATAATCAAGGTAATTTAATTCGTTTCGTCATTTAATATTTAGATATCTTTTATAAAATAATATTTCTATTCCAATTAATTGTGGAAAAACTGATACTAAATATTTTTATGTAATAGCAGTGTTATCTAACGAAAATTACAAATTATCTGAATATGAAATCTTACTGTCTGAACATAAAATATGTTATAGCTGTATTTCCAGTTTTTAATGAAGGAATATATTTCCCGACTTGTTACGTGATACCTTTTTTTTATGAACTTTGCGAATTAGTAATTCTGCATATTAAAAGATGGAACGAGTGATATCTAGATAGATCCAATTAATCTGTCTTTAAAATTGTTAAATTGTAATACATAGAATTTATTACTATTTCGATAATATTTCTTCACTTGTAAATGTAATATTCTTTATAAAAATATATTAGTAAAATCTTTTTCTATAATGTTTTTTCCATCTTTTTTTATTATATTTAAAAATATTGAAAAACATAAATTTTCGCAAAGATCTCTTCTGCTTTTTAGTTTTTAGCTTTTAACAGCTTTGCTACTCTTACTCTGACTTAAGCTATTATCTACATTATTATTTAACTATATCGAGATTTTAAATTGCATTTAAATCTCTGATTTGAATGCAATTTACAATGAACAACTTTCGCAGCACCGTTAGCGATTCGCACATGTGCAATGCATAATTTATGAATATACGATTTTCGAATGTCATTTAAGCGTTGTTTGTCCATTTTATAGATACATATTTATCAGCAAATTACGTGATGTAATTATCTATTTCGAGTCAGAACCGGTATTGGATAATAACTCACGGTATTATTCGAGATCCGTAGCATTTTACATAACGACGAACGGTACCGTTGTATTTCTTTAGTCTCTTCTCTCCGTATGCATTTATTTGAATACAGTTAAGATACGTTTCAAATTAACTATTTTTGCATTTGCTCAAGCAAGACGACAGATCCGTATTTCAAAAAGATAAGGATGTGTATGTACACATTTCCTTTTATTTTTTATATATTAACCAATATATAAATATATTCATCCGACGAAATGTCAATATACATGTCTCGTATTGATGAATAACTTTTTTGGTTGCAAATATGAGAGATCAAACTAAATAAGAACATTTAATAAAATATTATAGACAATAGTTGGAAAATAATTTTAATCACTTTGATTTTAGCAACAAAATGAAAATAAATATTTAATATTTTTGCATAATTCAAAAATTTATTTTTGCGTCATTCAAAACTCTTTTCTGAGAATATATGCTTGATGACTATCGCTCGGAAGATATAATAAGACGATCGATTTAGATGACGTAAAACGAAATTTATTGACATTGGTCGTAATTGAGCTGTGTTTTTCAAAGATTTGAGGAAAAGACACGGTATATATAAAGAAATTTGAGTATTCACAAAGTGAACAAAAGACTGCTGTTACAATTTTACCATTGAGCTGAACTCCAACAATTGCATCATTCGCGGAAACTGCCATTAGACTCAAGTTATTGTCGAACGAGGCGAGATTACAGTAGTCCTCCAATTCCACACAAGTACTGTCTTCACCCTCTGGAATCAATTGGACGCTCTGATTGAGCGGCTCATCTCTGAAAAAGAATCTCCTCAGGAACTTGATCACCCTCATTTGATCATCCTTAGTAATTATCTGAATGTGATAGTCCATATCGCTGTTGGATCCGTCAGCCGAATCGGCCAACTGAAATGAAAACGTAACGAAAATGAGAATATTGTAAGGTCTTACAAAAATTATTTGGCATTGTAAGAGAAGATTACAACATTACAATATATTAGTTTTATATTGAGAAATTGTTATTATTTCTTTAGAAATTACAAAAAAAATTAAAAACATTAGTTAATATTTTACAATGCAGTGGTCGATACGGTAGACATCTGATGATATTATTTGATATATTATTGATATTGAACGCTATTATTTGATGATCGATGTATATCTTAATTAGCCGTACCTTGGGGTATACATAGTTAACCGGAATATGAGACACGCGTCGCGCAATTCCGACAATAGGAAATGTAAATTTCGATAGGAAATTTAAACTTATTTCGTAATTTGCACGAGACGCTGCTACACGATTCTCGAATCGAGAATTCAGAGAAGACTTTCTGATATGGGAATGATGTACCAACTTATTACATTGCATGTCACGACAACATGCGTAAGACATTCTCATTTGTCCAATGCGTTTTATCGCGATCGGTCATTGGGCGGTCAACGTCACCCAGCGATAATTCGTCATTGATCTACTTCCAAGCAGTGATTTATAAGAGTCGATAAGACCGGCTGCGTGTGGATGCAATGTGCGTTTTCAAAACACGACAGCTTCGTAAACGTCATGGAAATATATAAAATAACGTGGGACTAAAGATCCTCTGAAAGTGTAGGACGTTTAGATATTTTTTTTTAATTTTAAATCAATTTTTTCGAATATTGAACAGACATCTTCTGAGACGTTTCCTTGACTGCTATGTGATATTATATGATGCGTTATTTAAAACGCGAGGAAACCTTGCGGAATGCAAAACTCTTTTGCCTTGAATGTTACACCGTTATTGTTCGCCGTTGTATGATTTAAATTGTCCTTCCACTAAGTCATTTAATAATCATTTGCTAAAATGCTAAATCATAAAATAATCGCTCGCTAAATGCGCTGATAAGATTTATAATAAGGGAGTCAACATCTGCGTCATTACGTTTGCAAAAGGATGCAATTGTGAAGACGCGTTGTCATCATTCGAGTTACGTCATGTCAAAGGGAGCGTGTCATTAGTTACATTAAGAGTTCTTGTAGTATAATTAATAATCTGCATAATAATGCCTGATGTCCTATATGTACAATTACCATGAGAAAACGATTAGATCGCACTAGAAGGCACATTTACGCGTACATCATCAGTCATCACCAAGGCAATGAAACCCCGCGTTCTATCCCTCAGAAGTATAATTGAAGTTTATAAAGTTTATTTTCAAAGAGGAGTATCACACTCGATCAAAAATTGAAAATGGTATAATTTGTGACACGATCAAACATTCCGACATAATAAGCACATGCGAAAACAATTTTCATATTTATTTCGTAAAATAAAACAGTGATATTTCAAATAAAATGCGTAATATATAACAAAAATAATAAGAAAACTGAGAAATAAGAGCCACAAGGCAAAATAGTGCTTCTTGACTATCACGATCTTATAAAAATAATGTTTCTCTATCTAATTGAACTCAAAATCAGGTGCAATCTCGTGTTTGCAGTCTTTATAAAAGCAGATCTTTAAAAAAATTATATTTTTCGAATCTGAAGTAAAGCATTTCGACAATATTACGCCAAATTCATCAAACATTAGTTCAGTCTTTAAAGTAACACAATATGCACGGATTATTATTTTAATTTTAATCTTGTTCAATTTGTCCGCTTACTTCTTACCGAGTATCTCGTAATTTTCGGCGCATCTTTCACGAAACTGGTGGTGGTCTTGTCGCTGCGAATCGCATCAACCCGATTTGACGCGTGTATGTTCTCCATGACGAATAATAAAATCCGCGAGCTTTTCCGCACTTGAATCGAGAGTGTACGAATTGCAACTGTAAAAACGAGTTCTCCAAGCGCTAACAAACGCAATGCTCGGTTGTTGTCGACGAGATGGTAATCTAACACTGCGCATTGTAATAGAACGCCGTCAGTCTTATATACGCTCCGTAGGAGCAGCAGGCGTTCTTGCAGGTTCAGGGACAGACAGATATAGTTTAGGATACTTAGGATCGGTGACGCCCTCATTTTTAATGTAGCAGGATATCTAATTAACCTTGGATAGACCCGCAATCATCGCGTAATTATGCCGCAGCTTCGTATAATTTTGCAGCGATTTATTACGATAAACTAGAACTTATTTTTTATCAAGATCTCCGACGAGAAGTGTTGCATTGCCAGAGAAGGAGCAAGGATATAAGATTAGACGAAAAGTCAAGAAATCAAGACAGTGCGTGCGATTTTGATCTTTTTTCTATAATAATATAAAAATTGCAAATCTATATACGATACTGTATAATCATTTGCGTTTATATCTCCAAAGGAAAGAATGCGCATAAAATTTAATGTCAAAACCATTTTGTAGCTTGGATTAACAACAGAATTTTATCACATGAGTCCACAGTTCTTGATATATTATATAAAGGTAAATAGAATTCTGTCCATTTTCTATTTAAATTTGCAAAATATACAATGTGCGCATATGTTGCATACAAATTAGAAAACAATTCCTATTTGATGTTGCCGTTTGTCGTAACATATGGCAAGAGATATGCATCCGTATATTATAAACACTTAAACATACTTGTTAATTCATATAAGATGTTAACTGACATCAAAAACCAATTAAATTAAGATTAATATTTATTTTGTACTTGTATGAATGACAAATAGACTTAATCGATGCTCGATTTGCTAGTTTTTGCAATGCATTCTTATGTGCTAACAACTGAATAGAAGATATCTAAAATTAGCGTTACGCGATAACGTAATTGTTATCTGAACTTAAATTGCAATGATTAAACGCAAATATTACTGCTATTGCGTATCGCAATGTGCGATATTATTGTAATCTACACCGTATATGGAAATTAAAATTGACATATGTTGACGAATATGTTGTAGCTTATACTTTCGTGTAAATATGTATATCCCTATTTTGTCTGCACATTTTTACAATGTCGTATGTTGAGATTGTTTACGCCCTTATACGCGAGCAACTATAGAGAACGGAAAATGCCAAAGATAACGACTGGCCTCGTCGGTTTATCGACTCGAAGGTCACTGATAACTATGCAGCTATGTCTGAAATTCAACTTTGATAGCCTTGAAAGCTATAATAAAGAATCGTGAAGTTCAAGGCTATCCTTATATTCTAAATATGTATGACAGATCGACTTCTTCTTATTGAACTTAATCAGATGAACTTAAAGAGTATATGTAAAATTACAATGTAAATATGCAGTAATATCTGAGACTTTTCACGATTTGTCATTATTCGTCATGGAAGATGTTATGATCTCCGAGACCGATTCTTTTCTCAATGGAAAAAATCGATAAAACCGTTTATTAGCTTCTACGATTGTTGTCGACGGATTAAACGACACACTCTGTTCGTTCTCGTTGCGAACGATCAATTAACTTTCAGCAAGCTAATACCACTCAGCGATTCAATGATTTAAATCGCATAGAGGTGTAGCGAGAATTACGAAGCATCTTCATGGTCACAGTATGCTCGCGTACCGCGCGTCCTTTGATCGCGACACTCGATAAGCTAGACAATCGATAAACGATCGACAATGAAATATAACGGCCTCAATAAAGTAGTCTCCCAAGCATTTCTCGCAGCCTTTCGAATCGGATGCGGTAGCAAATCCTGAATGAATATGTTGTAGCTATTATAGTTTTCCGCGTTCGAGAGAAAGAGAGATGGAAAGAGCAGTGAACGGTGAAGTTTTGTTATACGAGGAGTTGCTCAACGGGAGCCTTTAGAAGATTTGTTAGAAAATAAAAAAACTGTCCTTGTGAAATACAGGGTGAATTGTATGATTCAACTGAATACGTACGTTTTGTTAGCGAATTCACATTTTTGTTGTCCCGAACAGTTTTATGCGAGCGAGCTAATAAACCTTTGCATTTTTATTATTTATCTTTATACAAATGTATTCATTTTTTAACATCGTACTTAGCATGCCTAGTGTCAGACTGACACGGAACTCAATCGCTATGTGTTAATATTGAATATCTGTCGGTATATCAAATATATTCCAATATTTCGTGCTTCGTCATCTATATATAAATATATATTAAACTCGTGACAGAATATAAAATTAAGAAAAAAGAAGATAAGTGACACAAAAAGTTGATAAAATTTACTGAACCATATTTGTCGCGATCGAAAAATCGAATTAATAAAAATATCAGAACATCAATAAAAAGGACGAGAAAAAAGCAGTAATATTAATTAGTAAGAAGAACTATATTAAAAATTATTTATAGAAATTCCTTATTTAATTTTTGAGTTGACAATTAAATCACATTGGATATTTATGGAATGGGAATAATCGTTTTTGGCTTTAATTGACGATGACTAATGATGACTTGGCAAGGTCGACCTTACGATGGGCACCTTTAAACGCGACTTATTTACCTTCGATGCTTAATCGGACGAAAAACAATTTCGTCATGTTGCTGCCCGTCTCACTAGCAATCGTAATTATCTGTTTTGATAGAACAGTTTTAGCGACTGTCGAAGGCCTTGAGTGAATGGTCAATCAAAACGAGTTGCTATCGTTTACTATTATATGCGCATATATCGTTCATTATGCACAATTCTTCGACAAAAATGGGGAACACTTTCTGACGCACTTTCAATAATACAATTCCTTTTACTTGTAATAAAAATACTCGTGTAGCAGGAGAAAATTTAATCGTATCAATGTGGAATCTGTGTCCTGTGTTGCGGGAATTCCCATATAATTTTTGTATATCCGGCTATTAGATCCTTATATTAATTCGAGCTTGCAATTGTCCCGCGAAAAATACAATAAAAATCCAAATTATTATATGAAAAGATTAAAGTACTTTGAAAATGCAATATCTTTTCCATCTTTGTACTGAATTTATTTTTCCTTGATAAACCGAAATCAACAAGTTGCGCATGTTAATATTAAAGTTATATTATATTAAGCGTGTCGACAGACCAGTTGTCCTCGACGTGGCTGTGTAACACGATCCTTTGCGAAGCTTGATTCATGTTTCAACAGGAAGATCGTATAATGAACAAATTATTTTAATTCAATTTCAATTTATTCGCAAGATCGTTTCAATTACCAATTTCTTGTAAACGATATTAATTTCGTGTGTCGCTTTAATTAAGATTGATAACTTAATTAAACTTATTTAATTCGACTTTAGCAATTTAGTCATCAAAACGTTATATGTAATATCTCAAAAGTAAAAGTATTAAGCATTTAAGTCTATCGAACCACGTTACAATTATTTCACGAGCTAATATTGACATCAGATTGCACGCATGTTGCAGGAATTAAACTGTTTACTAGACAGGCCGACGCGACAATGTAAACGTAAAAGCGCGTAAATGTGAAGAAGAAACAAATATATGTCGCGAAATATAAGATTGTATGAGTGTTTTTAATATAAACTAATTGCTTCTGTTTAGTCAGTTGTGGAAAGCCGTGAAAAATGAAAAAAAAAATTGATTTTTTTTGCTTCTGTTTCAGAATCTATATGTTTGACGTCGTATAAAAAAATTATGATAAAAACAATTTTGCTATCTATAACATTTTTAAAAATATTTTATTCCATGTCTGTTTTTTAAATTCTGACTTACATTCAAAAGTGATTTAGAACTACTTTTATCACATACATTTGTAGTAAACGTGTTTATTACTGATAATTGAAATGAGAATCGACAGGAATTTATGTGGAACTTGTAAAAGCTAAGTTAATACATGCTCGATGGTTAATTTCGAGCCGTTCGAGGCATTCAAACGTAACTGATCGCGTGACACGAACGAAAATTTGCCCGAATGAAACACCGATGATTAGCGCATTATCTGCATTCGTCATGTATCACACGCGATCTGCACGCGAGCATGCATTACGTTGCATCAGAGATGTATGGTATTCACTTAACTGCACCTGCGACGATACAACAGCCTCGCGCTCAAACACCGTTCCGCTTCTGTTGCTCTCGAGTAATGCTCTATCCTGCGCGTTAGTGCGTACGCACACGCAAAATGCGAATGCGGGATCCTAATCAGCAGGACGATTTATCGTGTGATAGCTTCATACAGCCGAAAACGACTTGTCGAACGTAATAAAAATAAAAATAATCGATTTTTATTTCATCGATTTTTTTACTTCTATTTCAAAATCTATGTTTGACATATAAAAAAATTATAATAAAAACAGTTTTGCTATATATAACATTTTTTAAAATATTTTGCGGAAATACAGCTGTACAGTTTTAACGTACGGCGTATCGCAACCTAATGTTTATTATTACTATATATTATCGGCGCATAGTCGTTATCGCTATCGATGTAAGTGCTACAATCTGACAACTCAAGTTTGAATGTCTGATAAAGCTTCATTTTACGAACATTTTACGTGACGGAAATATTCCATTGCATATAATCGCCGATCGGTAACCAATATGACATATCTCAGATGTACCTATAGCTGTCTATATCGTCTAATTATAAAAATTCTTTGATCAGTATACTGAATACATTTTTTTTTATTAAAAATTTTGCACTGTCTTTGTATCACTATATCATACTCGAATAATTAACTTTTTCCTTTTGTTAAAAAAAAATTGATTCGGATATATTATGTTATATTATTATATTGGTCATAGAGTAGTAGATGGCAGGGAATAGTAAATATAAGCCACCTGTTGTATTATATATATATTGATCGTATCGCGATCGTGGCACGTGGTGTTCAATTGATCGTTAATGCGTTACAATTGCATCTGATTGAGTCTGATTTGAATGGATAATTTAACAACAATATTAGCATTACTGTCGAGATTCGTTTAATCACAATTATTCAATCACATACATAGATATAGCATATTGAATTCTTAAGAATAAAGACAGTTTGGAAGAAATTAAATTAGAAACTAATATTTTTTTTAATCTTTTCGTTTTTGTTTTTAGAATACAATTGTCTTATTATGATGATTTAAAGTAACTACATTTTCGTAATACGTTCAAATTGTGATTTCGTCTTGA